CTGTAAATTTCCCTACACCAGGCTTTAGTCAGCTGAAAATGCTGTGAGCTGTGAACGCTTGATGTGACTGTTGGTTGGTGTGGAATTTGTCCTGTTCATCCTTCACTATGATTGGATGGCTGACTACGAAATTGACAGTGATAAGTGCTGTTTTACCCAAAGTTGACTCTCGGTGCAGAGACAGAAGAAAAAAAAAAAGAAAAAAAAATGCAGAGCACTAAACACTCAGCACCTAATCATGCTCCTGGCGTTTAAAAAAAATAAAAAACAATAAATAGTGGTGCTCCCATTGAAAACAATTGGAGGAAGAAAAAAAAAAAAAAAAAAAAAAAAAACCCCGCTAGCCTTGGATAAAAATGCTTTGGTGGACTCGCAACCTAAGGGGCAGATTTAGAATTAATGGCCTCAGTTCTCCGTTTTCACACAGCTTAAAAAGTCAAAATTAACCAAACCTGATCTTATTTTGCCCTTATGTTTTGGACAGAGTAAGCATTAAATACCCACTAGAAACATCTGTCTTGTAATAGAGGCGATACCAAATATTCCAGATGACAGTTGGATATGAAAAGATTCAGAAGCAGGGGTGGGCGGCATAACGAAGCACGACGAGTAATTTTATATTACAGTAATGGTCATGATACTGGAAAATGTTTTATTTATTATATAACATGTAATAATGCCTATTTTTGGTGTTCCAGCAAAGCAAATACTTCACAAATGAGAGGTACTTATTTGGAACTTGGACTCAAACCATTTACTAGCAATAGTAGAGTCTGTGCAAGCCTATACCTGGCATGCCGCTGGAGAAACTGTCCTTAGAGTTGTGTGGAAGACATGAGGATGAGAAGTTCATGGAGGGCAGCAGCTTCACACTGGGCACCTGAAAATCAATTCAAATTCAAAACTAAAACAAGGCTGTAAAAAATAATTTGGAGACACTGCTAATCATGTGACAGATGGCTTATTATCCTCCTATAGATCTTGTTGTTCATTCTATACAGCAGGTTCTTTTGCCACTAATTTTATTCAGATCTTTTCAGAAAGATTATTTATACAACCTTATTTTTAGATGTAACCTAGTGAAACAGGTTTGAGATTGCTGAAGCCTTCAATAAAAACCTCATCATAGGAAATCAAGCATATAAACCACATCCTGTGTTAGAAATGTTTGCAGAAAACAATTCTGCAACCAGTTTCTTTGACTCCTTATTGTTTACACTAGACATGGGCCGATATTCAGTAATACAATACATCACGATAATTAACATGCACTATATTGTAACTGTGGGCACTTCAGAATACATTGAATAATTGTTCATTACAAATGATTCCGATTTTTTGAATGCATTTTAAGAATACTTTTCCAATCAACTGGTTTAAATGCACAACACCGCTGTATGCTGCGTCAAAGAGGCCTGCACACTGATGTAAACAAACCCAACACGGATAAGTGCATGGCGGAACATGTAAAGGAGACACACTAAATGAAAATGCACATTCACTCTCTGACAGCAGAGCACGGTTAGAACAGCAGAAATGCAGCCATAACCCGGTAAACAAAGCAGCAGTGCTACTTTGTTTCTGAACAGTATTTAAATGATTTAAACAGTCATTCAGATTTTTGAATTCACTATGGTGTTCACCCCAGCACTGAATACTTAAATACTTAGACTTAGGCCCAATCCCATTTGCAGCCCTTAGCCATTCACACAGAATGCATATTTTTCAGATGTGCAGCGTGTTTTCAGCGTGTTTTCTAGATGGACAAATATGACTGCTGCACACGCGCCACAAGACATGTACAGAAAGTAGGGATGTTCATTTCGGTTATTTTTCCTAACCGACGCTTATTTCAGTAATTCAACTCAAATTGTGAAACTCGTGTATTAAATAAATTCAATGCACACAGACTGAAGTAGTTTAAGTCTTTGGTTCTTTTAATTGTGATGATTTTGGCTCACATTGAACAAAAACCCACCAATTCACCATCTCAACAAATTAGAATATGGTGACATGCCAATCAGCTAATGAAGACTGCTGATCTGACAGTTGTCCAGAAGACAATCATTGACACCCTTCACAAGGAGGGTAAGCCACAAACATTCATGGCCAAAAAAGCTGGCTGTTCACAGAGTGCTGTATCCAAGCATGTTAACAGAAAGTTGAGTGGAAGGAAAAAGTGTGGAAGAAAAAGATGCACAACCAACCGAGAGAAATTGTACATACAATTTATTATTTTTTTTGTGGTTTATATTTATGCATGTGTATTTTATTCACATCTCGTTTTTATTATCTGTGTGTTACATACTTGGCAATAAAGCTTTTTCTGATTCTGATTCTGAGAACCGCAGCCTTATGAGGATTGTCAAGCAAAATCGATTCAAGAATTTGAGTGAACTTCACAAGGAATGGACTGAGGCTGGGGTCAAGGCATCAACAGCCACCACACACAGACGTGTCAAGGAATTTGGCTACAGTTGTCGTATTCCTCTTGTTAAGCCACTCCTGAACCACAGACAACGTCAGAGGCGTCTTACCTGGGCTAAGGAGAAGAAGAGGTCCGAGAGAGAGAGCGAGAGAGAGAGAGAGAGAGAGAGAGAGAGAGGAAAGTTGTGTGTATGCGGGTCGGTGCGTCTCTCTTTACAACAAGTGAGTTTACTTCAAAAACAGCGATTGCATCCTCTCGTTTCTCGAAAATATAATGTAGCGATTCGATATTTAAACCGTCATTAATAAAAGTCATGGGTAGGGCTGTCACGATTATGAAATTTGGCTCACATATTTGAATCGATTTTCAACTGGCTCGCAGTTAATCGTTACATCTCTACTGACGATACATGACTGACAGACCATGCTGGAGTATTTGCTGCTCAGCTGATCCTGAACTCACTGACAAATATCTGATCTTGTAAGATTAGATGTGCTCCTTTACACAGAGTGCGCGTGAACGCGAAATCGAAAGTGAACAGCGAGTGCACATTCGAAAGCGATTTCAATACCCGCATATTGATAGCGTGAAAATTATAAACAATATAAGAATGTTTGCAGGAGCGGCCACAAAAAAAAAAAATCGCGGGAGCGGGCGGTAATGGTCAGAAATTCAATGGGAGCGGCATTACGAAACAGTTCCGTGCAGAGCCCTACTTCAGACTATCCGCACAGCACGTCGACATTTTAGGCTACCTTTAAAAAAATAAAATAAAAACAACACATTGTGCACTGAGGTAGGCCTTCTATTTATTTTTATGTCGTTTTTCTCTGTTCTCAGAAGCGCTGCAGGTGCGTGATAATTTGACGATGTGTGAATCCAGGTTCTGTTGTTGCTCTGTATGCTGCTGTTTGCACGTTAAAATAAACCAGTGAAAAAACGTTTTTTTTTTTTTAATTTTTTTTATGGGTCACAGTCACAGACACTCATGCATTCTATTTTTATGTAAGAATAATTTATCATTCTAATCTTATCGGTTAACGGTTAATTTCCAGATAACAAGTAAAGGTTGTCGGTCGGGAAAATTAACCGAAATGGCCATCCCCTATCTTATATTGAATCTTATACATAACTACAGGCTAGTCGTCTGTTTCTATTACATGGCACTCTGGAACAACTGACATTCTACAGTCAAATATTTTCATATGATGATCAGAATTGTGTGGCATTAAGAACTAGTTGCATTTAAAATTCCAATTAAATTCTTGAGTTTGATCTGAGCTAGTAAATATGATTTTTAATAAATAATAAAAATCAAATATAACAATAAACGTATAGCCTAATAAATGTAGAGTATAAATAAAAGCCTTCACCGCTGAAATACTTCTGAGGCGATACTCCATCAGAACATCTGTGAGCTTCTGTGTGACCTTCAAGACGATCTGAGCATCGTCCTCGTTATCAATACGAAAAGAGTCCTAATAATAAAACAGAAACACACAAATTTCAGTAACTCCAAATGGTTGATAATATAAACACATGAAGTGCTTCAACAAGCACTGTTATTCAAAAAGAGAGTAGTACCAGATATTTGAGCAGTGTTGCAGGGAGGCTATTGTTCTCCGGGCCTTTAGGGCCATGTCCCAATAATCTGTCACCACTGCTGTTCATGGACATGTCATTAGGGAAAGGTCTGCCCCTGCCTTCATTACGCTGGCCAGGCCCAAAGCCATCTGGGCCCATGCGCAGGGGTCCATCATCAGGGAAATGTTGCATGTTGTCCGTTTCCATCATTCCCCTGTCTGGTCCAGGCATGCTGTTACCATAGCGACCTGGGCTAGTGAAGTCTCCCATATCTGAATAACCTCTCCTCATGGGGGGATCATCCATACCCCCACGCATGCCAGGGGAGAAATTAGGCATCATGCCACCCCGAGGTGGTAAATCCCCCATGTACATGGGACCTCCATATTGACCACCTGAGGATGTGTGAAAAAGTCAAGCTACTATACATTTAAAATCACAGTTACTTTTCTAGATAGTTCACTTCTATTAACACAAACACATTGGTTAGGCACTAACCTGGTTTTAACCCTCTGGGAGAAGGCCCAAGAATACCAGCAGCTCCTGCAAATGCTGGATTGGGTTGTGCAGACTCTAAGAAAAAAAAAAAAAAAAGGTAAGTAACTGGCTGGCTAGGGCTGGGCGATAAATCTTGTTTTTTTTTTTTTCAGAATGTTTGACCGATTCAAGATTTCAATTTGTTTTACATTTAACTAGTCAACTTAATGTAACTAGATGGTTAATAAAGAATTTTACTTGAATCATGTTGTAGTTAAGGAAAGTTCTATACAGAGTACAGCACACAAAGTGCTCAACATGGTGTAAACATAAAATAAATGACTTCTTAAATATAAAGATGGCAAATATTGTACAAACGTCCCTAAACATATCCTATCCATCTTAACTGTCCCGTAAGAGCGGACGCGGCCATTTGTAAATTTAATGTGTCTGGCTTCCGGTGTCACCCGCTTCCAGCTATTTTTGGCAGTACAAAACAGCTCGTTTTGCTGCTTCATATTGCAAACTGGTGTTTCTTACCATATTATTTTTAATGTATTGTCTCTTAATTATAAACACACTGGGTTGTAGCACAAACAATTTTACCGTTTATTGCACCATTATTCTTCTTGTTATTTCCCTACTGCAGCTAATGAAGCGGAAGTCTCACACATTCACAGAAAACAGCTTTCTTCCACATTGAAAAATAAGGTGGATATGTTCAGAAATAACGAAACTTTACAGTTTAGCGGGTCATAAGGCTTCCTATCGCTAAATCATGACTTCATTTTGAGTGCATGGTGAAGCACGCTGGAAACTGGAGTTAAGGGATGATAGGACAGAAGGGACACTGGGATTGTGCTAGATGATGTCAGAACAGATGTTATATCTTCCAAAATTAGACAAAATGAGCAAAAACCAGGGTAGATACAAACAAGAAATGAAATGATTCTTGTAATATCTGTGTATTTTGTTAATATGAAATTAAATTCCTTGCATGAACACTAGGGCTGAACGATTAATTGCATTTGCTATAATATCGCAATATGAAAAAAACGCGATTTTTCAATCGCAGAGGCTGCGATTACACTCGGTCAAGTGACACGCGAGAGTAAAGAGGTGTGTTCGACTTGAAGATCGATCGGTGTAGCCTATGACATCAAAGTACGGCGAGAGAAAGCATAAGGAGACGTTTGCGCTCTCTTATAGCTCTCGCAGTACTTTGATGACACACACCCATCGGTCTAAGCAGCGCTGCTTCAAGTCGAGCGCGGGCCATCAGCAGAAAAAGAAAAGAAATAAAACAGTAAACAGCCAAAGGATGTAACTTAGAATGGGAGATGGATCGGTTTGTGAAAGCGAAGAGAAAAGCCACAGAAGTAGTCTGTTCATTTAAAAGCTAAATGCAGAAAATATGACGAGGTATATCTTGCTCTCGGCTTCACTCACTGTGTCTATACCGGACGCTACAGTTGTCGCATCGTGCCGCAACAGCTCTACACTGACGCGACAAAGCAACCGTTGCAAATCATTTTAACTTTGTGTAGCTCACTCTAGCCCTCCGGCCGTTCCTCACTTTATCCCCCGGCCTCTGCTCACTCTATGCCACCGTGTGTGACTCTGTGTTTCGTTGGAGGAGGGCTTGTTGTTTGTCATTTCTCCGATCACAAATGCAGACATGGCTTTATGTTTACGCAGCGTCCTGATTTAAACTAGGGATGTCAATTTTTGATCATTTCCATGATCGATCGCCGTTTAAATTAACGATCAATTAATCGTTAACCTTAATACTGCAAAATTCATCTATTGCAGTGGTATATAGTCACTAGCATGACAGTATGAACAGTCTAAATTAAAGGCTAGTAGCAAGATTGTAAAATAAATAGATGTGATTTGAATCATTTGATAAAATGAGTGCGCTGTAGTTACATTTGGGATCAAATGTATCAAATGTAAAGCGATAAAACGGTATCGATATTTATCGACGGTACACCCTCTTCGATCATACTTTTAATAAAGATAGAAAAATGCCATTACAACGGTAAAAACAAAATTCTACTGTAAATCACTTTAAGGAGTCAAATATCAATTCGTAATGGGAAGGCTATTTTTTTATCAAATTTTGGTGCTCCTAAATTTTTGACTGTGCTCCTACATTTTTTAAGTTAGGAGCACAAGCGCTCCTAAAAAGAAAAATAAGCGTAGAGCCCTGAGAACGCATATTCAGCACATTTTTTTAGACGGACAAATATGACTGCTGCTCTCATGTCTCACACAAGAGATGTATAGAAAGACATGCAAAGTTAAAACAGTTTAAACTTTTAGAAAACACGTCACGAATTTGTGTTTATTCCTTTTCACTGCGTCTCTCATGCTTTTAAATGCAATCTGCGTGATGGGCGATTCAGCTCTTTGGATTTAGCAATGCATAAATACATGATGCTGTTTTGTTCTTAATTGTTTATGCAATTTACGAAATCACGTTTGATTTATATGAGTTAATTTAGACGTAATGCACGTTTTTTTTTAATAGACAGTTATCTCCTTTGCGTTGGCAATTTAATGCACTGCATTATTTTGCTCATTGCGCCCTCCGTGGCTTCGGGAGACAAGCCAAACATTTCTTTCAGACCCATTTCATCTGCATATAAAACATTAGAAATGAGATATTTGTTTAATTTTAATTTTGTGTTTGACTGTTAAAACAAAAAATATTTGTTGTTTGTCTCAAATTGGGTTAATTTAAAAATACAGTGGTTAAATTTAAGTTTTTTTCTATTGCTCTTTGTTTTAAAAAAAGGTTATAAAAAATGCCAATAATTATCGATACCAAACGATATGAAACATTATATCATTGATACATTTTTTAGCTATATTGCCCAGCCCTATCTTTATCTCTCGTCACATTCAATTTCAACAGTTTGTTCTTGTTAAGGCACGTCAAGTTTATTTTTACAGAGACCGACATGATTTGAATGTTTGAAAAAACACCATTCACACCTCCTGCAACCCCCCTCTCTCCCCCCCTCCAGCACTCCAGATCAGTGATGATGACGTGCGTCAGGTCTTTAGAAAGAACAAGAGAAGAAAAGCACCAGGCCCAGATGTGGATCCTCTTCAGTTTGCCTACAGAGCAAACAGGTCTGTGGATGATACAGTCAACATGGGACTGCATTACATCCTGCAACATCTAGACAGAACAGGGACTTATGTGAGGATCCTGTTTGTGGATTTCAGCTTGGCGTTTAACACTATCATCCCAAACCTCCTCCTGCCCAAATTACTCAGCTCTCCGTGCCCACCTCCGTCTGTCAGTGGATCACCAGCTTCCTGACAGACAGGCAGCAGCTAGTGAGGC